CCTCCATCCCCTTCCCCCTGACATAGCTATAACTGCTCCCTGCCGCACCGCCAAGGCGTGTCGGCAGGGCGCGCCAGGCACGTCGCCTGGTACCTCCTCACGACCTGCGGCCCGGAAACTGGAAGCATCCGCCAGCAGCAGGGACGGTGGGACGAGACCCTGTTCAAGACGAGGCTCTCGCCATAGCCCTGCGCACACTCGTCCTGAAAGCCTGCAGCAGCTACGAGGATGTGAGGTGGGCCCTCTGCCAAGATGTGTTGTCGACTCGGCGCCGCGCGCGCTCGCTTCAAAGCACTCAACAATTACCATGATGGAGCACTGAAACTGTTCGGAACGGCGGAAGGCAGTTCCTTTACAAAACGGAGATATCCCCTGAATGGTAGGTCCATGAGATGTTCGTCTTTCAGGGGTGCACTCCTTCTCGCGAAAAGAAAACTTGTAGGGACCTGTGAGGAGGAGAATTGCGGCATTGATGACGTATCCTCGGTATACTCAGGTCCTCCTCATCCACCACCTCCCTACTCCCTGCTCCCTCCTCCTGATCCTCCCCCTCATCTTTCATCATTGTCCTGTCTCCTCGTGTCTCTCTGTTTCCTCCCCCTCCTCATCATCCTCCCCATCGCCCTCCCTCTTATTCCTGATCCTCGTCATTATGCCTCTCCTCTTCATCCTGCTCATCAAACACCGTATTACTCCTGCTGCACCCCATCCTGTCTCTCCCCCCTATGCCCCTCCTCCTTCCCTTCCTCTTCCTCCTCCCCTCCTCCTCCTCCTCCTCCTCCTCCTCCTCCTCCTCCTCCTCCTCCTCCTCCTCCTCGATCGGAATGGTCAGGGGAAAGCGCCAGAGAACGAGCCAGGGAACGCGCCAGAGGACGCGCCAAGCCGGTGGGCGTGCCAGGGAACGTGGCAATGGAAGGGGGACAAGCCAGGGATTGGGCCAAAGGGTGTGCCATAGGATGCGCCACGAAACGTGTCAGCGGATGCGCGCAGACGTGCCAAGGGATGCGCAAGCCAGGGGACGTGCCAAACTACGCGCCCGTGGACGTGCCACGGAACGTGCCAGGAGACGGACGGCCCACCTTGCCTCGGCCACGACCCCTTGTAGATTTCACTGGGTCCGCGCTCCAAGAGTCACGGCCCTTTGTAAATTGCGCTGTGTCCGAACTTCCAGCGCCACGATCCCTTGAAAAAACACTCTGGGTTCGCGTTCCCAAGGCCACGAGCCCACGAAAAGCACGTTGCGACCGCGCTCCCGAGGCCACGATCCAGCGTAAAGTGCGCTACGTCTGCGCTTACAACATGGGGAACATGAACCCCTCGTGCAGTACGGCTACGTCCGCGCTCCCAGGGCCACTATCCCCAATACATTTCATTGCGTCCGCGCTCCCAAGGGCGACCCCAAGGCCACGAGCCCTTCAAAATCCCACCAGCCCTCTGGGCGTAGGTGGTTTAGGTGTCTCCTATTCCACACCCTTCTTCCCCTTCGAGGAAGAATTTACCCCTCCGCCTACCTCCCCTGGACCTAAACGGGGCGTTCCGCGAGCGGCCGGAGCGTCAAAGACGGCCCAAGTTGGCTCCAGCAGGGCCTCAGAAAGCCCAAGATGGCCTCGAAAATGGCTCAAGATAGCGCAAGATGCCTCGACATGGCCCCCAAGATGCCCCGAGAAGCCCCAAGACCGCTTCAAGACGGCTCCAAGCGGCCAAAAGAGCTCCCCAAGGAGGCCCCGAGAAAATTGCAATCCTTCCAAAACCTGTGAACCAATCAATGTTTTTGGGTTTCCCGCCTTTTCGCTTCCGATGGCCTTCCGAGGCTTCAACATGAGTCCAACAAAGCCCAAGAGGGCCCCGTGATGGGCCTACGAGAGCCCCAAGACGACCCCAAGAGCGCCCAAGAGCGCCCCATGAGCGCCTCAGAAGCGCTCCAAGAGGTGAATTTAGGGGCTCCCCAAGGGCAAGGCTAATTAGGGACTCCCCCTTTTTTTGATCGATCTCCTTCAAGATGGCTTCAAGGCTCCGAAATGCGTCCCCAAGAGGGCCAAAAGAGGCGCCCAGACGGCCCCAAGAGGCGTCCAAGACGCCTCCAAGAGGCTCACAAGAGACCCCCGAGAGGCCTCATGAGGATCCCTGACGCACCCCAGACGCTCAAAGACCTCCCTGGGCCCACCAAGAAGCCCCTCAGACGCCCCAAGAAGCCGCCAAAAAACCTTCCGAGGAGATTCCGAAGGGCATTCAAGACGCCTATGGCTCTTCTGCTCGCCCTTTTTCCTCCTCCTCAAACTGACAATAGCTCCCATGCGAATCATGTTTGGATGGGCCAAGCACTCCCCAAGACGCTCCACAACGACAAGGTACACATATGCATGTGCGAAATTATGTGATTCGATATGCTTACATACTTCCCTTATCGTGGCACTTCGCCTGGGCATCGGTTATGGATAGGTTTCGGTTTTTGTCACAGCCGCAAGCGAAAGCGTAGGCGGCGTCAAAGGTCGACCCGGGCTACAGGCGGAGCCTAATTGCCCAGCGAGCGCACTCAAGGCTGCGGAGGCGCTGGTGGGGATACTTTTTTGTCAGCGGCTGCGAGCGAAAGCGCACACGGCGAGTCGAGTCAGAGCGGGCCTCGCAAAGACGAATTTCCTAAAGCGGCGGGGCCTCAGGCGTCACCACGGCGGGCGGAGCCGGCGGGTGGGGGTGCAAGCTGCGGCCGCCAGGAGCTGAGCCAGGGCAAGGCGCAAATTGGCCAACCAGGGCTGAGCCGCGGCCAAAATGGCGCGGGCTGCACACCAGGGTGGGGCCAGGGAAGCGGCGAGTCAGTATCTACGTCGACTGCAGAGCGTGCCGAACGGCCCGAACTGGTGCATTGAGTGGCGCCACCAAAGTCGCACACTCGGTCCCCAAAGGGAAGCACTGATCCTGAGGAGTCCGTCCGCGAGGTTACCCAGGGACGGGCAAATGGCCAGGGACACGGTGGAGGTACTCGACACCGTAAACTCCCGCACCACCGGACCAGGAAGCCACGCGCACTCTCGAACTGGAACCGGCGGCTGAGGGCTGCTGAAACAACAAGGCCCACACCTCAAATCCGGGTCGGGGTAGCAAGAGGATGCCGTGGGCGCTGCCGCCAGGGACCATGGAAAAGATCAACACGGTCGGCCGACAGCCAAGGGCACACAGGCTGAACCACGTGCACTCGGGAGCCCCAGGTGCCCTAGGAGAGGAGCCGCGGGAGGAGGAGGCGGAGGGGCGGGGCGGACGGGGTCGTCGAGACGCGCAGCCGCCGGGGCGGGGAGGGGCCAGGGAGGTAGCCCAGCCGCGGAGGGAGGCCGTCCCACTCTTGCTGGTGGGGATACGCGAAGCGGCAACAATTGCACTAGGCTCACGCTCCCAGGGTCACGACCCTTTATTCAGTACGTTGCGCCCGCGCTCCCGACATGGGGATCAGGAAATCTATCTTAGGACATGGAGACAACAACTGGCTGGTAGTGTTGCGTGCTCGTTCCCCTGGGGTTGTGGATGCCATGACAGTGTACACGCGAACAGTCCGATCGTTGAGCCAAATCTGTGTTTGATATGATTGAAACACGTTCTATGCTCAGGACATGTTTAGACAAATTGATGACATCTGGAAATGATTTGGCAACATGCTTCCTCTCCATTGATCGTCGTCCGCAACCCTGGGGGCGGCGGCTGTGGCTCGGTACCTCACCCTCGCCGTGCCACCAGATGTGTCGACGGGGCGGGCCCTCACCTCTGGTGATCCCGGAGCCCGAAGCTTCCGACAGCTGCCGGGATGGAGGGCAGATCGTGTTCAAACCATGGTTGTCTTGTTTGGTGGCACTCCCTAGAACATGCCACCTGCCCCTCAAGCTCGGACGCCCGAGTGCCCAGGCATGCAACCTCGTGCGACCGCCACACGGACGGATGGCGGCTCCTGTTCACAGTGGGATCCGCTGTGGATGTCCTGAAACTGTGAAGCACGTCTACCCGCGATCCGTATACAGCCAGGCCTAGGACAGAAGAAAATCCTTCCAGAACATGAGGCCCTCCGCCGACCAAACTGAAGAACATCCGCCGCGGTCCGAGTGACCAAAATGCGGAGCAAGCCAGGCTTCAGGCATGGCACACGCCCGAATGGCAGGCCCGTGGCAGCGCTCGTCGTGGAAGGCAGCGCTTGAAGGCGAGTGCACAAATGGAGGTGGCATGGGCGGGAGGGTGTGTTGCAGCATCGTCGATGCATCCTGGGCCTTCTCTTGCATTCCTCCTGCCTCTCCCTCCTCCCTCCTTCCTCCGTCCGCCCCCTCCCTCCTCCCCGCCCCCTCCCTCCTCCTCCTCCGCCTCCTCCTTCTCCTCCTCCTCCTCCTCCTCCTCCTCCTCCTCCTCCTCCTCCTCCTCCTCCTCCACACAATGCCAGAACCAAGGACGTCCCCAGCCAGGGACGGAGGTGGTGTCTGGGTGTCGCTTGCATAGGGGGCGCCAGCAATACCTCTCCCTCTTTCCCTCCCTCCCGCTCTCTGTCCTCCTCCTCCTCCTCCTCCCTCCTCCTCCTCCTCCTCCTCCTCCTCCTCCTCCTCCTCCTCCTCCTCCTCATCATCATCTCATCATCATCATCATCATCATCATCATCATCATCATCATCATCATCATCATCATCATCATCATCATCATCATCATCATCATCATCATCATCATCATCATCATCATCATCATCATCATCATCATCATCATCATCATCATCGCCTCCTCCTCCTCCTCGCATAACATGATTCGACCGACTGATGCGCCTTGCCTCCTCTAGATGTTCATACCCAGCTTCATTCAAACGTTCGTCTCTGGGGAGCGAGGGGGGAGGAGAGGAAGACATGGGGAGGAATGGAGAGGGTGAGGAACGAAAAAGGCAGGGATCAGAGAGGGAATGGAGCGCGAGGGGAAGAGAGGGGAAGAGGGAGGGGGAGATGGGCCAGGGAGGGGGGGAGCGGGAGCTGGAGGAACTCTGGCTCGGCTCACTCCTCCTTGGGCACCCTCCACTTCGCCATGAAGTTGTCCTGGGCGTGACGCGGGAGGGAGGGCGGGACAACGGCGGGAGGAGGGGGAAGCGGGAGGGAAGAGGTCCAGGGGAGGGGTAAGCGGGAGAGGGGTGGAGGAAGGGGGGGAGGGGAGGCGGGGCGGAGGGGGGAGAGGGCAGCGGAGGAGGGAGAGATGAAGGGAGAGGTGGCGCGATGGGGGCGGGGAAAGTGGGGAGGCAGACTTGGGACGTGGGTGAGGGGGGAGGGCGAGGGACGGGGGTATGGAAGGGATGAGCGGAGAAGGGAAGAATGGCAGCAGGATGCCCAAGGGGGGGGGGAACGGGGCGGAGGGGGTGCAGGGGGGAAGGGGAAGGCGAAGGGATAGGGGCAGGGACAGGGACGGGGACTGGGGGAACGAGGGGGGAGAGGGGAGGCGGAAGGGGCAGCGGCAAAGGCAAGGGAATGGAGAGCGGGAGCGAGATGGAAAAGAGGGAGAACGAAACCGAGATCGAGGAGCGAGGAGCGAGGGGGGCGCAGGGAGAGGGGGAGGAGGGAGATGGGGGAAAGGACGCGAATCAGGCGCAGCCTGCGGCGTGCCGCTGGACTGGCGCGAGTGGCACGCGAGCCGCTGCGGCGGCCCACCACGACGGCTAGAGCTGCACCGCACCGCCCACCACGACGGCCGGAGCTGCACACCCTGCCGAGGCCGGCTCCTCGGCGGCCGCTGAGCGGCACGTCCAGGCACCGGCACCGCCTCAGACGCGCACAGGCCGGCCGGAGGCGGCCAATCCCCAGACATGCGACGTCCTGATGTTTGTCAGGACGGCGTCCCCGGAAGTCCCGACCCTTTCACCAGGACGGGCTTTTCGTCCCGAGTCGTTCCTTGAAGGCCCCGGGGCCCGGCGAGGGCCCCCAGGTGCCGAAAGTAGCGGAAAGCCGCCCGTCCTGATTCCCCGTCCTGATTCTTTTACGACGCGATCATGTCTGGGTCTGGACCCCGCCACGCCCGCGGCGCCGCCACTGGCCGCGGCGCCTGCAGCCATCGCGCCACCATAGCGAGCGAGCACCGCCATGCCTGCGCAGGGCCGCGCGGGCAAAACAGGCAGCAGGCACGCGAGCGGAGCCTGCACGCCGTGCGCGCAGTAATCGAATCACTCAGGTAGGATTCAGGGCTGGGCCTAAGCGTTGCTTTCCGTCTTGTCTTCGTTTTGTGTTTCGTTTTGCTCTGTCTGGTTTCCTGTGCCTCCCTCCCAAGGACACAACAAGCTTCTCAAAAGGCGCGAGGCGAAGATTTGGAAGGGTTAAGTCCAGACGCTCCGGACGCAGATCGAGCACCCCGTGCGCCGCAGAAAAACGAGGTCTGGACGGTGTAGACATCGAGCACTCCAGAAACGAAAACACACAACACAGCTGAAGTCCAGCAAAACAGCGCTTCGGTCCAGCCCTGGTAGACGTATCCGCAACCGTGCCTCTGGGCACGGAGTGGGCGTGTCCTCGGGTGCGTTGCCCAATCCCCTGAGCCTCAGTCCTCAAGCCTGGGGAGTCAAGTAGGGGCCGGGACCCCAAATTTCCAAATCTTCTCCGCCTGGGGCTTGCCGCCGCCTCCCGCTTGACTTTTTCGGTCCCACGAGGGCCCCAAGATTGACCAAGAGGGCCGTCATAGACCCTGAAGGCGGCTCCAGAGCGCCCCGAGGCACCGAATGATCGCTCCAAGACGCCGAAGATGGCCCCAAGAAAGCCGAAGAGGCCGCCAAGACGCCCAAAGAGGCCTCCAAGAGGCCTCCCAAGAGGGCCCTCAGAGGCCAAAGTGATTTTCCTTCGGTTTTGAAGAGTTTGGCGTTGTCGCCATTTCGGCTTCCCGACCCTCGCAGACGGCCCGAGAGGCCCGACGGACCGCCCCAAGACGGCCCAAGAGGCCTCCAAAAGGGCCCCCAAACGGCCCAGGATGGCCACAAGATAGGCCAAAAGGCGTCCGCGTGCCACGCGCGGAAGGTCGGCTTCGCGCACGGTTTGGGGCTCGTGGACTTGGCCAAGTTCTACGAGCACGTGTCCCACGAAGCGCTGGGGCGTGAGGGTCTACTGGTGAACCTCCCCCAGGGGGGAGACCGTCAGCGAGAAGTTGGAGGCGAACGGCACGTTGGCGGCAAGCTGCTCATGTGCAACCAGTTTAGCGAAGGTGCTGATGCACAGGACGTTGGGCCTGCTGGCCAAAGAGTACCCGCTCATGGGGCTCCAGAGCGTGGTCGACGACGTGATGGTGCAAGCAGCGGGCAGGGCTGAGCAGGTGAAGCGGCAGCTCCCCGCGGCCATGGTGAGGATGGTCGAGTTGCTGGAGGCCAAGGACTTGGTGGTGTCGTGACAGAAGACCAAGTTCATGGCAGGCGACGCGGCCACGGCTGCGGCGATGGCGGCGGCCTTCGCAGAGGAGGGGCTGGTGTTGGAGCGGGCTGCTGGAGCACGCAACCTAGGAGGCGACGCCACTGATGGAAGGTGGAGGCGCGGCGGGGCGCAAGGCGAGCGACTCGCAAGGGCGGCGAAGGCGGCGAGCAGGGCGCAGGCGCCAAGGGCGGCGGGAGCGGCCCGAGCTGGGCATCTTCAGAGGAGCAGCCCCGCGGCGATGGCACTGCGGGGAGTGGGAGTGACGGGCCTCCCCGACGGCAAGCTGCACGGGCTGCGCCTCCAGGCGTGCGTGGCAGAGGGGCGGCTGCCCAGAAGCGCGGTGGCCGCGCTCAGGCTCAGGGCGCCTCTCCCAGCCGCGGCCAGGGACCCGCTCCGGCTGGCGGCGACGGACACGGCGAAGAGCTGGGCCATGTGCGCGGCGGGGCCGTCCAAGGCGTTGCCGCGGGCGGTCATGGCGAGCTGCCTGGAGAAGGCGAGGAGGCTGCAAGAGGGGAAGAATCCAAGGCAGAAAGAGAGGAGCCCAGCAGACGTCATGGTGCTCACGATGGCGCAGACGTGCATCGAGATGAAGTCGACGTTCGTGATGGAGGCGCCGACGCGTCGCGGCACGGCCCGGCGGTGGTCAGCAACGCGCTGGCCACGGCGGCGCAGTGGATGGCGGACGCCCGAGCCTTGCCGAGCCTAAAGCGGGGCTCGGCGCGGGGCTCGGCGCGGGGCTCGGCGCGGGGCTCGGCGCGGGGCGGCCCTGCCCACTGGAGGCACATAGAGGAGCTGCGGCCGGCGAAGCGGAGACGTGGGGCTTGGCGCTCAAGAGAGCGCTGAGATGCTGCGTAGGAGGATCGCAGTGGTCGCAGGCGAGGCGCTGCGACAAGGGTGTCGTGGCGTCCAGCGCGTGCAGAAGGTGCAGGAGAACGCGCGGCACGCTGCGGCACGGGCACTTCGAGTGCGACGCCAACGGGCCAGCGCGGCGCGACCCATGCGCGCCCGAGGCGCTGGAGGCAGCACGGCGCATCGGAAGCGAAGGTGGCGAGGAGGCAAGCGAAAGATTTGCGCGAGACCTCTGCCCAGAGATCCCGCCGCTGGACACCTTCACGGGCGATGACTTCGCTGACGGCTTCGGCGGTGGACGCAGGAGGCCGCCGAGGACGCTGCGCCGAGGCGAGCGGGGCGGGCGGTGGTGGCTGCGCGGCCCCAGCCGCGGTGTTCTCCGACCGCCGGGGCTCGATCGACCGGGCCACGGGCAGGCAGAGGGCGCTCGGGCTCGGGGGCAACCCCGGGAGGTCGTGGAGCAGGCGGTGGACGGAGCTCGGCGACACGGAGGGTCCAAGTCGTCAAGGCCAAGGGCCACCAGGCGGAAGCGGACTGCAAGACGGACAAGGAGAGGAGGATGAGGAAGGGCAACAGGCACGCCGACGCATTCGCCAAGAGGGGTGCGGCGGCATGGGCCACCAAGGAGGGGAGAGGGCTCGCGGCGGCAGGAGCGCACGCGCTGGCGAAGCAGGCGGCGCAGTGGGTCGCCACTTCGGCGGCCCTGCTGCAGGCGACGGGCGCGGGCGCAGAGGGCCTCCCCGAGCGCTCCGCGGCGCCCGACGCCCCCAGGGGGACAAGGAGGCCGCGGCCGAGGAGGGGGCAGGGCGGCGAGGGCCGTGCAGGGGAGGCCGAGGCCAGAGGCAGCTGGGCTGGGGGAGCGGCAGGCGGTGGCGCGCGGCGGGCACCGCCCCGTGCAGCACGGTGGCGAGGCCGGGAGGCGCGGGGCGTCGTTGGAAGAGAAAAATGCCACAAACATAAACCTTGGGCGCTCCGCGCGGATCTCTTGGATCTGCGGCGCTGGAGGCGCCGGGGGGGGCCAGCGCGGATCCAAGAAGTCCGCGCGGAGAGCATGGCGTTTTTTCTTCTTCTGGTCGTGTGCACGACCTGCGGGGCCTGCGGCGCGGGCCAGGCGGAGCACACCCTGAGGGCGAGGAGGGGCCTGCTCTTCGCCGAGGCGGCGAGGCGGCGGGGCCCCCAGGAGCAGAGGAGGAGGCTGCGGCCGAGGGGCTCCACCCGCTCTCGTGCAGGAGGGAGGTCAGGGCGGCCCTGCACGGCGGGGTGCCGGGGCGGGGCCGCAGGTGCGAGGCGCGTGGAGGGGGGAGCGGGGGAACGAGGCTGAGCGCTGCCGTCTGAGCACAGAGAAGCAGGCGGCAGGGGCGGGCAGGCCCGCCTCAGACCTCCCAGGAGGCCACGAAAGGTGCCAGGCCCGCCGAGGGCGGACAGGAGCGCGTGAGGCAGCGGGGCGGCGCCGCCGCCGAGGCACGGAGGCGGGCCGCGCCTGCGGGGCTTCTGCAGCACGGCGAGGGCCTGCGGCAGGAGCGCCGGCGGCATCGTCGAGCAGGGCAGGGCCGCGAGGACGACGGCGGCCGAGGAGGCCGAGGGAGAAGCCGCCCGCGGGCCGCGCTCGAGGGGCCGCGCTCGGGGGCTGGCCAGGGCGAGAGGCGAGGCGCCGTGCGAACCCAGGCGAGTAGGGCAGGGCCGCGAGGAGGCCGAGGAGGAGGCCCAGGGAGAGGCCGCCCGCGGGCCGCGCTCGAGGGGTCGCGCTCGAGGGGCGGACAGGGCGAGAGGCGAGGCGCCGCGCGGAGCCCCACGGGCGCCAGTGCCTGGGAGGCGGCTGTTGGGCGGGTCGAGAGCGCGCGGCCAGCGGCCGTGCGCGCGAAGGAGCGGGGACGCGGCGGCCTCCGACCGTGTCCGCCGCCGCGAGCGCCCCCTGGACTCGGGGTGCTCGCGGCCCCCCCCAACCATCCCAACCGTCCTCGTCGTCGTCGCCGAAATCGTTCTGAACGAACTCATCGCCATCGTCATCATCCTCCTCCACCTCCTCCTCCTCCTCCTCCTCCTCCTCCTCCTCCGTCACCATCTTCATCACCAGCAGCATCACCATCACCATCACCATCATCATCATCATCATCATCATCATCATCATCATCATCATCATCATCATCATCATCATCATCATCATCATCATCATCATCATCATCATCATCATCATCATCATCATCATCATCATCATCATCATCATCATCATCATCATCATCATCATCATCGTCATCATCATCATCATCTTCATCTTTACCTTCTTCAACATCATCATCATCATCATCAGCATCAGCATCAGCATCATCATCATCATCATCACCACCACCACCACCACCATCATCATCATCATCAGCATCATCATCATCATCATCATCATCACCATCAGCAGCATGCAGCAACAGCAGCGTCACCATCATCATCATCATCATCATTATCATAATCAGCAGCATCATCAGCATCAGCATCAGCATCATCACCATCACCATCACAATCACCACCACCATCACCATTACCACCATCATCATCATCATCATCAGCATCATCATCATCATCATCCTCAGCAGCAGCAGCATCATCATCATCATCATCATCATCGTCATCATCATCATCGTCATCATTATCATAATCAGCAGCATCATCAGCAGCAGCATAAGCGTGATCAGAATCATCATCATCAGCATCAGCATCATCATCGTCTTCGCCATCATCATCACACCATCATCAGCATAATCAGCATGAGAATCATCATCATCATCAGCATCATCATCATCATTACAGCCATCATCATCATCATCAGCAGCAGCAACAGCATCATCATCATCAGCAGCAGCAGCATCATCATCATCATCATCATCATCATCAGCATCATCATCATCATATCATCATCATCAGCAGCATCATCATCATTATCGCCGTCGTCATCATGATCATCATCCTCATCATCATCATCTTAATCATCAGCATCATCACCATCAGCAGCATCAGCAGCAGCAGCATCCTATGCATCATTGGCAGCATAACCACCATCGCCATCGTCGTCATCATCATCACCATCATCATCAGCATCATCAGCAGCATCATCACCACTACCACCATCATCATCATCATCATCATCATCATCATCATCGTATGAATCATCATCATCATCTCAATCATCAGCATTATCATCATCATCAGCATCATCATCATCATCATCGTGATCATCAGCACCGTCATCATCAGCAGCAGCATCATCATCAGCAGCAGCATAGCCACCATCACCATCATCATCAGCATCACTATCATCATCGTCATCGTCGGCAGCAGCAGCATCACCATCATCGTCATCAGCATCATCATCGTCATCGTCATCGGTATCATCTTCACCATCCTCACCATCATCAGCATCCTCACCATCACCATCACAATCAGAATCACCACAATCATCATCGTCATCATCCGCATTATCCTCGTCATCATCATCATCAGCAGCATCATCATCAGCATCATCATCAGCATCAGCAGCAACAGCGGCATCATCAGCATCATCATGGTCATCATCATCAGCATCCTCGTCGTCATGGTCATCAGCATCGTCATTATAGTCATCATCGTCGTCATCGGCATCATCATCACCATGGTCAGCATCCTCACTATTACCATCAGCATCACCATCATCATCATCATCATCACCATCAGCAGCATGCAGCAACAGCAGCGTCAGTAGCATCATCGCCATCATTGTGAGCGTCATCATGATCATCATCATCATCATCGGAATCGTCACCGTCATCACCATCATCAGCATCATCATCAACATCAGCAGCATCATCAGCATAATCCGCAGCATCATCATGACATTCATCATCCTGTTGCTGACCATGAGCATCATCACGAGTATCTTCCTCATCATCCTCATCATCCTCATCCTCATCATCCTCATCATCCTCATCATCATCAGCATTAACAGCAGCATCAGTATCAACATCGGCGTAAGCATCATCAACAGCATTGTCATCAGCATCAGCATCAGCATCAGCGTCATCATCATAATCGGCATCAGCAGCAACAGCATCAGCAGCATCAGCATAAGAATCGGCAGCATCAGAAGCATCGTCATCAGCATCATCAGCATCGTCGTAAACATCATCATCATCATCATCATCATCATCATCATCATCATCATCATCATCATAATCAACATCAGCATCATCAGCATCATCATGGTTGTCATCATCATCGGCATCGTCATCAACATCATCGTCGTCATCGTCGTCATCATCATCAGCATCAGCATCGCCAGCATGATTATCACCATCAGCAACTCGCCTTCACCATCACGATCACCATCTCCAGCAACATCGTCATCATCATCCTCGTCATCATCATCAGAATCAAGATCGTCAGCATCATTAACATCGGTGTCTTCATCTTCATCTGCATCATCACCAGCAGCAGCGTAATATGAATCAGCATCCCCATGATCAGAATCATCATCATCATCCTCATCCTCATGTTCACCATCACCACCAGCACAATCATCATCCTACGCATCATCACCATCACAATCACCATCACCATCACCATCACAATCATGCTCATCATCATCATCATCAGCATCATCATCATCATCAGCTTAATAATCAACATCAGCATCATCAGCATCATCATCATAATCAGCATCACCAATAGCATCATCATCATAGTGATCGTCATGCTGATCCTCCCCGTCCTTCCCCACTAGATGACAGCCCTCTCCTCGATTATAATCATCCTCTGATGGCGGTCAGGTCCTTGTCGTTCTCCTTTATGCGTGCCCAAACGAAGAAGAAAAAATAGGCCAGTGCAGGGTAGAGCATGACGTAGCGGTAGAAATCCTGCGCAGGAGGGCAAGGAGGGGCCAGCAGAAGCAGTGGCGCCAACCTCACGCGAGAAGGTCTGGGCAAGCTGCCCGCCACTATGCTGGCCCCGTGCTGTCCGTCTGGATTCCTCTCACTGTTTGTGGACCCCGCCCACGTCTGGGCGGCGTCCGGGTGCGTGCAATCTTTCACCTGGGCGACGAAAAGAGACGGGTCTTCCGCGAGATGACATAGCTACCTTTTACGCCGCAGCTTACGCGGGCCACCCGCACGGCACGACAATGGAGACGAAGGCGCTTATGCGCGACCTCATGCGGGCAACTTGCGTGCCGATGTCGGTGAAGACTGCCCCGTGTTCTTCCGTCCCTCACCTGGGGCTCCCTGGAAGATCCAACGCGTGGGTTCCGAGTGCCCTCCAACCGGCGCACGAAGACTTTCGAGCTTGCCCGAACGACACGGCCTCAGGAGAGGGCACAAACAGCCCCAAAGAAGACCCCGGGGGGCACCCCAGAGGCTTCAAAGGGGCATCCAAGAGGCAACAGGCCCTCACAGGGGGCTTTTGAGAGAGGCCGAAAGATGTCCTGTCTCCTGTTCGACACGATTGCTTGTCCTTCGAGGCCACAAGGGGCAACACGATGACCCTAAGACTACCCCGAGCGGCCCCCAAGAGCCCCCAAGCGGCCTCGAGGTCGCTCCAAGATGGCACAAAGGTCCCCCAAGATCGCCCCAAAACAATTCCAAGACGGCCCAGGACCTGCCCAAAAGGCGCCGCCTAGACAGACTCCAGAGCATCCGAAACTATCCTAAGAAGGCCCCGACGGCCGCAAGACCATTCAAGATAGTCCTGAGATCTCCAGCAGGCTCACAAAGAAGCCTTCCTACTGCTTTCCAGCAGGTTCGTGAGAAGCCCTCTCCAGAAAAGGATAATACATGTTACGATTCACAAAACTATGTACTAATACCAAGTGTGGGCCCTGTTTCAGATCGGGCAGTGAGCTGTTACACGGTACAGCATTTTGGAATAGTGATAATGAAGGCGTCGCAAGTTCTGGTGTCATGGGCCCTCAGGAAGACAAGCATCACAGATCAGAACATTCTGGAGATCACGACAGAAACTGACACATGTTACGGCCCAAGGGGCCTAGTGACGAGAGAAAACACGTGATCCTACCTTCCGAGCAGCTCTCGAAAGCCAGTGCCGCCGTCGTTTCCGTCATGCTGTTCGTCGTCCATCTTCATCCCTCTCCTCCTCCTGCTCCTCCTCCTCTTCCTCCTCCTCCTCCTCGCCCTTCTCCTCTTCCTCCTCCTCGTCCTCCGACCCTTCATCCTTCACATTACCACCACCACCACCACCATCATAATCAGGTATCACTAACACCACCATCACCACAAATAACCGATCAGCATCAACAATCATCTCCTCCTCCTCCTCCTCTTCCTCCTCTTCATCCTCGTCGTCGTCGGCATCGTCATCGGTATCGGCATCGTCCGTCGGCCAACGCACCAACCGAGCTTCAGGGGGAGGCTCACATGTGGTGCGACTGACAGAAAAGGTCCCACCTGGGATCACCCAGGAGGGCGGAGGGGAAGCAGGAGGAGGAGGGAGGAGGAGCCCTCCCCCAGCTTTCAGACGTCTGGGCAGCGCAGCGCGGACGTGACTCGCACTGTCAGTCCGCCCCGCGCCACATACGTCAGCCATTGCCGCCGAGAGCGCGAAGTCCTCGTGCGCCTTGTCCAGCATGCCGCCGTAGTAGCTGGTGTCGACGTAATACCTCCCACCGATCCCAGCACGATCTCAGCGGGTTCGTGTCGTATCGACTTGCGCGTTGGTTCCTGGCACCGCGCGGATCGTTTCACCCCTTGAACGGTCGGCAGCTCTTCGATAGCCAGATCGTGCCGTTTTGGCCGATTCTGGACCGCCGGCGGCGTTCAACCTCGAGGTCCTGCAGCGGGGTCCCCGCTGGGCCGACACGGCCCGAAACCTGCAGCACTCAACGGGAGAGGGGGGCCAGGGAGAACCCAGGGGGTGGCCCTCGGGCATGGGGGAGCCAGACCGACGGGAGGGCGGAGCTAAGCCGAAAGCCTCATGTTGAAAACCACCACAACCACAACCCCCATCCTTGGAAATGCTCCGATGTTTCAAAGCGATTGTGCGCGGCGCTACGGCCGTAGCCGCATATGTACCAGGCTCTAAGGCAAGAGCCGCATGTTGAAAACAACCTGCGATTCCTCCTTAGGATCTGCTGCATAAGGTCTAAACCGAATAAGTGCTGCGCTGAGCAAAAGCCACATGTTGACAACAATATGTGGTTCCTCCTTGGAAATTATTGCCTAAGATTTAAAATGGCGAGCGCGGCGCTGAGGCGAGAGCCGCATTTTGAAAACAGCCTGTGCTCCATCCTTGAAACTGTTATAAAGTTTGAACTTCAGGACCGTAGGCGAGGAAGTCTCAACCAAAGGTGGAGGAGGATACGAAGGAGGAGGATGGAGGAGGAGACGCAAAAGGAGGGGGGAGGAGAACGAAGACGAGCAGCATGAGCGGAAGCAAGAAAATAAGGAGACGCGGGAGGAGGAGGAGGAGGAGGAGGAGGAGGGGAGGAGAAGGAGGACCAGGACGAGGAGGAGGAGGAGAGGAGGAGGAGGAGGAGGAGGAGGAGGAGGAGGGCCGAAGGAGGCGGAAGGGGAAGAGGGACCAACGGAAGGAGAAGAAAGAGGGGGGGAGAGAGAGACGAGCAACGAGGAGGAGGAGGAGGAATAGAAGGGGGACGGGGGAGGACAAGATCTGGTATGAGCACTCCGGGGAGCGACCTTCAATCGATTCTGAATCGACGGCCGATCCCGTCCAAAATATCGGAAGGCTTCACTCCAACCACGGTCGTCTTCATGTCCATCATCATCATCACCATCACCATCATCGTCCAGATAACCACAACTGTAGTCATGATCTTGATCACCAGCAGCGTCATCAAAAGACATCATACTCGTAGTAATCATCCTTAACACATACATTCGCATCGCCAACACCACCACGAACACCACCGCCGGAACCACCACCATGATCATGACTCCTCCTATTGTCACCACCATCACCACAAAAATGTCAATCACGATGTCAAGCGCTACCGTTACTGACGATCTACATAACCGACAGTTCCGTTGCGCACAAGAGTTGATATTAAAGCGCACTCCTGCCTCCAACATGCGTTTAGTATGATGGGCGATGACTGCATGCCCCCCCCCCCCGAAAAGTCAGGCGCGCTTTCAATTGCAACAGGCGGGCGCAAGCGCTGTAACAGCCTTGGGCGGATATGCCGACAGCATCACGCGCCCATCTCTGAACACTGCTACGAAACAAACCGACTGCAGAACCAGCGAACACACATATTGCACAGCTTCAACCGAACTCAGACTGGACAACATAGTGTTCACGCATTCTCAAATCAAAGCTTGCGCATGCCAGTGAATGCCTCCAGCGGTTCTTTGTGGGGTCGATGTGCATCTCCGGGATTCCCATCATGGCCATCTTCTGGAAGTCAAAGTTCCGCTCCATCCTGGCAAACGGAGTTCGTAGTGAGAATAACACATGATTGGAAAGGCCCCATCTGCCAACCGAACCTGGAACAAAGTGAAGCCTCGCCACCTCGTTGGCTCCATCATCCTCCTCCTCCTCCTCCTCCCGTTCCATCCCCTCCTCTCTACTCCCTTCCCTGCTCTTTCCTCGCCCTCATCATCCATTCACATATCTCCCCATCGCCCCACCCCACCTCGCTTCCCTCCTTTCCCCCTCCCTCTTCCGCCTCCCTCTTCCTCTTCCTCTTGCTCTTCCTCCCTCCTCCTCCTCATCCTCCTCCTCGTCCTCCTCCTCCTCCTCCTTCTCCTCCTCCTCCTCCTCCTCCTCCTTCCTCTCCTCCTGTTCCTCTTCCTCTTGCTCCTCCTCCCCCTCCTCCTCCTCCGCCTCCTCCTCCTCGTCCTCCTCCTCCTACTCCTCCGCCTCCTCCTTCTCCTCCTCCTCCTCTTCCTCGTCCTCCTCCTCCCTCCCTCGCAAGCCGCTCGAGGCTCGTCCGTAATTTGTGCGTTAGCGACAGGCCTCCAGCCGCATCCAGTGCATTCTCGCGGCGCTTGGGGGGCTCTGCCGCGGACGCGGTTGTAGCAGCAGTCGGAAGCGAAACTGACCGAAGTGTTGAATGGGCCGCTGGCTGTTTTGTAGTTCAACGCCCTCCTGGACATCTTCATCGGCCTCCCGTCTGCCCAAGGTCCACTCGGGTGGCGGCACTGCGTTGGAGTCTTGTGAGGTGCTTATCCTGCTTTGTGGGCTCCTCTACCAGGCAGCGGGTCGGTTGCCTGAGCCTGACCCAGGGCAAGGCATACGATGTTACTGTTTCGGCGGAGTCTGGCCAACCCAAGGCAGGC